CTCATGCAGGGAATTTTATTCGAGAAAATCTTGGCCGACTTGACATCGGAAACTACAAACACATTCATACAAAATCCACAGAACAGAGAAATCAAGTAAGCAAACCCAGAGAAAGCACACTAAGAGTTGATGAAGATTAAATGATTATCTTGATGCGTCTATGTGTCACCTGAGCTGGTCGCTCTTATATCCGATCTCGTATCGTTATTTTCAGTTCTATGGTAACTGGAAACGAAGACAAATTCGATTGGTCCATTTTTATTGACTATCCTCTGTGTATGACCAGTAATAAATAATTTTTACCCGTTCATCAAATTCAAATTAAATACATTTGAAATGATTTCATATTATAACATTTTTATACAAATGCCTAAATAATTACAAAATTTTTAAACATTTTATTTTCATTAAAATTTTTTTTATAGATGGAGGCCAATTTTTTAATTTTTAAATTTGGTTACATTGTTATCACGTTCAGAAATATACATCGAATTATTTTTCTACATTATTTCAAACATGTTTCTTGCATATGCTAAACTAATTAGTTTCCGTTAAACTACCTTTTGTGATATTTGAGTAAATTTTAAGCAGATCTCAAACAATACGCATTTAAAGAAATAAGAATGGTAAATATCCATGTTTTTTAATGTTATAAAGTTCATAAATGACTCAGTTTGAAATCTTACGTACTATTTGGACAAAAGAAAGAAATTTATTGCCTTTTGTGTCTTTAAATTTCGAGTAAGAGAAATTTTGCCTCTGGCAAAAGTTAGAAAACAAGATCAATTAGGACTGTCCCATAATAAGTGCAACTCAGTTTGTACATTTCACTCGTTTACCAAATCTGTTAAAATTACAATGTTAGATAATTGGATTATCACTCGAAAGGAAGACAGGGATCTTCAGAATTAGAATGTATGGTGTAACTATCTGAATAATAAAGCATACGCTTTTCCTAATTGCTGCCTTAAAAACCTACAAGGTCGCCACTTTAACCCAATTACGTCAGAGAATAATTGCTGCAAGTTGTTCCCTTCCTTTAGGGATTTCATTTCCATTTTCTAAATGTTCTCTTGCATTAAAGCAACAGCGCTGGTAAAGAGATTTCACCAACATTTCCACTTTTCTCCCTTCTTCAGTAATTATCAGATATTCCGAAAAGTTTCAGGTGGTACTTTTAAAGACTTTGAGTTTCGTATGCGCTAAAAGCAATAATATCAGATAGGATTAAAAACTTCGTCCTGATTTCCTGACTTATATTAAATTTCTAAAAGGTTTCTGTAAATTGTTAGATATATTTATCAGAATTTAAACAAACCTATCTCTAAAATGTAAGTAATTTTTGCATAATTCAGGACGTAAATTATTGTTTTGTATTCTTTCTTGGCTTATGAAGTGGAGTGTAATATAATTACATGCGAAATTTTCAATATGAATTTGAAACTGATCTTTAACTTGCCATTCTAATTTATAATTAAAATTACAAAGTACCTGTTAAATAGCATTTTCTCAATCGTATTTCTTTTGATTCCTGATATATTCAGATTGAGCACCGCAATTAAATATATCCGATAGTTCGGTGCATTAGAAAATCTGGCACGAGTATCTCCGTTCAAGGATTCTACTAATGTATGATTTATAACAGGAGTTCTTAATCATATGGGAATTTCATAGCTTCGGGGGGCATGCGGTTAGTCTTTTATTCATTTAGTTAGTTAACCAAATAAATAAAAGTATTTTATTAATTTTTATTATTATATTTATTCTGAAGGTTAGTCTTTTATTTACCTATTAAGTATTTAGTTACAATTTATAAATACAAAATAAAGGTTTTTTTTTTTTTCAAATTTTTGTATTAGAATATATATATATATATATATATATATTTGTGTGTGTGTGTGTTAAATTTATAAAAAAGTTAAAAAGAATCTAAATTTGAGTGAATTTATATAGCATATGTCCAGTTTTGGGAAGGAAAGAGAGAGAATGATTTTCAAACAATGGTGAAAAGGGTGCAGGGGAGTAAAAAAGTTGAGAACCACTGATTTAGTAGTACTATTCGGAGATACTCAGCGGCTGTTTTGCCCCAAAGTAAGTTGTATTATTTAGCGTTTAGATGTAATTAAAAAAGGTATTAAACTAATTTTAAAACGCATGGGCATCTTATGGACATTCCTCTTGTAACCTCGTATGTCCAAGAATTTCTTAGCCACTTTAGGCTTCTCACTACGGAACACCTATATAAGGTATTTCTCCCGCCTTCTTAGCATGCCTTCGTGTTGTAATGGCCAGCACGCTCGGCGCATATTCGAGAGACTCGAGTCCAGACGAGAGCATCGCACATTTCTCATGTCTCCTGCTTCGAAGTAGCCTAATGTCTCTACAGTGGCGCCCGAATTAAAAATGTTGGCGGATGGTGATTCTGCACCACCAGAATTTGGCGATACGGTTCCCTAATCCCCATTCGCCCTTTGAAATGGAGAGTATACAAGGTATATCGCCCGCCTTCTTAGCATGCCTTCGTGGTTTAATAGCCAGCACGCTCAGGGCGTATTCTAGAAGTCCGAGGTTCGAGTCCCGCCGAAGATATCGAATTTTCCATGTCTCCTGCTTCGAAGTAGCCTAATGTCTCTACTCCTGTACTGTACTATGACCTCCGAATTCGTATCAAACAACTCATATTAGATGGATTTGAATTCAATTTAAGCAAAAAATGTCATATTCAGAACTTTAAGTGCAAAAGTAGGCGTTCTTTAAGCAAAATTTATTAAATTACGGTTAGAGTATTAGGGGAATGGAAAATCCTTTAATAGAAACGGAATTCTTGCGGTTTCCGCTGCTTGAAAACAGTTAAAGAACATAATGTTTCAAGAAAGTTTAACGAATAATTTTGCCAAATGCTAGAGAGCTAGACTCTTGTAAAGAAAGCGAAAGTGCTGATCATCTTGTTATCCAGGAAATCTCTGGTATGCCATATCATCGGACTTCCAGAGTTTTCAGTTTTCAATCATAGTTAATTTTTTTTTTTTTACTGCCTTCTATTTTTGAAAAGACTCTCTGATTTCTCCGTCTAATTGAGAAACAGAAAATGAACTTTCGGTAAAAAAGCAGTAGAAGTAGGGAAAAATTATTATTTCCGAACTTAAATGTTATAAATTTACTGGGTGTTCTTAAATTCAGAAAATACTAACGTAAAAAAATAATTATTTGTATAATATGAAGGAACTAACTTGCTTATTGAATATAGGACAATGTTTACCACAAAATATAAAAGGCAAATTTATCATTATGAATGCCATTCAGATCTTCGGACCAGCAAATGTGAGAAAAAAATCTGTATCTTTGCCGGAATTCAAACCGCAGATCTCTCTACTGCTAGCCGGGCGTACTAACTATTTATGCAAAAGCACGCACAAGGAAGTGCGATAAATTCTTAGAAGCTAACTGAAGAAAAAGGAAACATAGGGATTAATACGAAAACCATAGAATATCTAAAAGCTAGCACAGTGTATGCAGTTCAAGAAGTTATGGACAATTTAAGAAATTACTGCTGCAGTTTTGCATAGGCATTATATAGACACTATCTCTTATGTCTATGCATCGGTAATATAGCCAACAATTCTAGCATTCACTGTTGCACCGCGATATTAAGGTTTAAGTCGAGAAAACACTGCAATGACAAGCTTTTAGCACGTAGATATACAAAATAAGTAGCAATGAGATAACAAGATAAGTAAGGAGAAGTGCAAGTTATGCATCGCGACACTGCGCAAAAAGCGTTTGAAATAAATGCAATTTTCTACATTGCATTTGTTGTATTGGACTTTATGTCTTACGTAAGTCGAGGATTGTATTGTAATAGACAAAAAAGAGAATTGGAACAATTTCCAGACACGGAAAATGAAATGGAGATTTGAATGCCCACAGTCCCGTTGATACGCTTTTGAAAAATATTTTTATTATTGATACTTTTATTGAAATATACATTAATAATACTCCACAATAAAAAAGTACACATTGTAAGCCATATATATATTAAGTTTGAAAAGTAATTTTATTTCAACACATCATGCAATCATTTTTAGATTTACCATTTGTAACTGCTAAAATCCTAGTTTCAGAAAAACCTAATAGCTAGACAGCTTTTCAAGGATGCCATTCCTGAAGTTAATATGGACGTGACGGCGTACAAAAATGACAGTCAATATAGATCTTCGTGTATCGATCCGAAGAATATGTAGGTTGTTTTAAAGCAGGAAATTATAAGTATTATATATGACCTCATTGGCATTAGAACCGCAGATCTACCACTTGTTAACTGGACGTACTAACCGCTTAACTGCAACAACACTCAGTTGTGAATACAGGTTCTTACAAATACTACCTCACTTCTTAAAAAGAAAATCAATTTATAGGCTGATGTGAGAGATTTTTATATTTTTGGAAATAGGCTCTACCTATTTCAATTTTTTATAGTCGCAGAAATGCAACCTGCAACGATACATGAAAGCTTTTTTTTGACCGAAAGAAAGCCCTTCACATTAAGCTTAAAATCCATCGCAACAAATTGCACTGCTCCGATTAACGTTATTTTGTAGCAATGAAATTTAAATGTTTGTTGACAGCGTAGTCAATCCCGAATAGCTACACCATTCTCTTGTATTTAATGAGAAGTGATATAACTTAGCACTATTTAGCAACAAACATTATTTCTTATGCATTTCTTGCAAAAATATTCTGAGTTATTTCCCTACAACCTAGACGAAGTTAGATGTATTCATGAATTTGACTATACCTAATTCATAAAATTTACACATTCTGCTTTTTTACATTTTAAAGAATTTGCTTTGTAATGCCATCTTTACGATTTTGTTCCGTCGAATACAAAATCCATAGCTCAAATAAGTTGAGATTAAATATAAATATTACCGAGCTAGGTATTTTGTACCATCAAAGCTTGAATCAAAAGCCGAAGGAAAAAGAAAATTAAAAAAATTTACCTAACGTAGTGGAAGGCTGAATGATATTGCCTGTTGGTTCTTCCTTCCAAGCCATCAAGGAAACGTATTCCTGCATAAAACCTCCAACATGGCACCTTAATATAGCAGTACCTCCAATTGTTGCAAATTCATCGTATACTTCAACGACATAGTGTTGGTTGACCACTGAAAAAGAAATTCTTAATTAGAATTTTAAAAATGCAAGAAATGCAATACAGATTTAATAAATGATAGAAGCAATACTTTTTTACATTACTTTCAGCCACAGCTTTCGTTAATTTCAGTAAAATATGGGCTACAGATTTTGCATTAAATAACATGAACCTTTCGTTATAAAAATGAAATTATTAAAAAATCTTCTACTTATAACAGTTGTCCCTCATCAGATCCTCCATTATTTCTTAAATGCATTTATTTATTTTTATTATTATTTTTTTCTGGTTAAAATTATTCAAAATGTTTTTTAAACTAATGAATAAAATGTTTTTAACCATTAAACGGCATCAAAACTGTTAATAATATTTAATGAATGTAATTCCAGTTTTAAACATCTAATTTTTTAATTGCATTTTATTTCATAATCTTTTTATTTTACTGCTATTAGTTTCTTGGCGACATGTATGTGTGACATAGTCAGCGAAAATAGTTTTTCCTTTTGTTAAAGGTTTATCCTCTGTCCCTTAAATGAAATTAGCAAAATCCAATTGGAAGAGAAAATCGTTATTGCAAACTTTAAAATTTGATTAAAAAAACAACCTTAAATTTGCCTCAGCTTTGAATAAAACTCTTTGGATTTTTAGAGGAATTGCAGAGATGAGAGAAGCGACAATCATTTTATATGAAAATAAATGTATGGAGGAAAGCTGAAACGAATGAAGAGCCATCTGTCTGAGAAAACAACAATGCATCTTGAAAAATCTAAGATCGTAAAGGCGAAAAGGAACTGAAATTTATTTTATAATCACAAAGACATATCTTCTTAAGTTAACGACATTAATTCTAATCCATTTTTTCCTAATGCTTTAAAAATACTAATCGCTCTGCTTCTTTAATTTTCGTTACTGTTTTTTGACAGATGGAGCTGTGCTGCTGTGATCTCTTGCCAAAAAATTCTGCTGTAAAAAGAAGTACCTATGTCACTGTTCTCGAATTCGTTTTATTCAAATTCTATGGTTCCTTTTTTTATTTAATTTAAAATTTAACTGTCTGTTACTTTTATCCATATATAAAGGAAAATAACTTTATAACACTGAACCATGTAAAACAAACAAATGCATTTCTAAATGCCAATTTTAATTTCTGCTATACGAGCACTTTTACCGCAGCAATTATAAAATTTCTTTTTAAGTTACCATTAAATTTTGAATAGTATTTTTTAATACAATTTAGTTACTATAATTCAATCATTTTCGACATATTCTAAGCAGCTAGCTTAGTGCATTGCAATACATAATATAGTTTGCATTCTATCAGATAAAATTATAATTCAATAATACGCCGTTAAAAAAATGTATAATATTTAATTTATAACTTAAGCTGATCATCCTGTTATCTTTTAATACATTACATAGCAGTATGTTCTGTTTCCCTTTATATATCTTTTAAGTTAGATTAAAAAGTAAAATTGAGAGATTAAACAGAGCTGCATGGTCTCCGAAAATGTGTATAGTTAATTGTAATAAATTTATAGTCGCATAATTGTATAGTAACTTGATTCTGCTGATAACTTTATAAATTGCGTTATAATAATCCAATTACTATTGTGCACATAGTTAGTCTGTTACTTTAATTTTGCCACTCAGCCATACTGCTATTAAATAGATAAATATGAGCCGAAGTCTTTTTTAAAAGAAGTGCATTCGAAATCTACGGAGATAAATTTAAAATCAATCTCTTTCTTCACATAATATTTAGAAAGTAAACTGAATAATAAAAAATTAATTTAGTTTTAATTGAAGACATTTTAATTTATTTAAGCCTACCCAAAGCAAATGCCAATAATAAATACTCTCAGAAAATGGTTATATCCACAGACTTTGTAAACTTAAATATATGAGACAATATATTAATTAGTGTTATTCCAATGGGAATAAATTACTCGGGGTACCTTAAATATCAAACGAGTATCTGGAACGTTTAATGGATTTCAGAGATTTTCTTTTCGAGGTAAGAATAAAGCTAGTAATCCATTCTAAGTTACTGCATTCTTCAAAGCTACTTTTATAAATTTTAATTAATGCTAGTATAATGTTCCCTTATCTTATTTGTTTTGAAAAAAGGTAATTATTTTAATTTTTGTTTGCAGTAGTTTACAAATTACATCTTCGTTTCCAAGCTAATCATATGATCGAATTCCTACTTGTATTTACTAGCAAACAAATACAGAATTCAATTTGCAAAATGTCCAAATCTGAATTTGCTTTTAAAATCTATGAATGTACAAAATTATAATTGAACTTCAAACATTCAACTTATTCTTTAAATATAATGGCAGAACAGTGTGGATAAGATAGGTAAATAAGATGATGAAAATTCCAGTTTTAAATAAACAGTATTCCATTAGTATAATTAATATGTAAACAAATATAATTAAATTGATATAATTTTATTCATCTATATTTATGTTCACGAATGACAGGTATACGGTTTTCAGAACTTAAAAATGGACTGTATAATATTGCCAAAGAATTAGAGAGCTATAAGCAAGAAGAGGACCACCATTTACTCATTTTTATGAATTCGTTCTCACTGAGTAATATTTTAAAACAGATGTATCATCATTTGGATACATTTTGGTGTTTTATTAAATCCATAGAACAACATATGTTGTTTGTTTATCATTTTAAGTTCCCCCTTTTTTTTTCAAATGTTATACGAATAGCATGCAAACACATGGAATTAACATTAGGTGATAGTACAAGCTTTTAAGCTAGTATTATTACACTGTTGGAATTGAAAAAAGTATAATTTGACAGACACTTTTTAGCAATTATATTTTACATAAATAAGTAAAAAAGTTGTGACTCAAATTCATATGCGAAGAGAAATTACAGACTTACTTAAAAAAGCGCAGATTAGCTGTCAAATGTTCAAATGAAGTGAAATAATTCTAATACTTCTCTTTGATTTCAGAATAAGAGTTAACGAAAATTATTGTTGAGCTGACTTCCTCTCCAGAGCTTGTGGGAAAGGGGACGGGGTGGGAGATTTTCAGATCCTTGTTCTGGAGGCTCTTCATCAAAATTAGGACAAAGATGGACAAATTCATATGTAAGCAAATGCTGCTCTGACTCTATAAGGCGCAAAAAGCCGAGGTCAACGAAAGGAACAACACCGTATTTTTTTGCACGATAAATTTTATAGACTTGATCTGGATTAGTTTCAGATCAGGAGGATTAGTAGTAACAGTAGTGCTTATACAAAGCAATCTTGATTTACGAACGCTTCGGATCACGAACAAAATTTCCATTCAAAAAATATTTTAGATGACGAACGATGTCTTGAGATATAAATAAGTAACCTGGCAACAAATGTTACATCGAAATACAATTAATACAGTAGAAGGAATACTTTCAGAAGACGGGAGGAAAGATGTTCCTAGTTATTTGAGTAAAATGTGTGCAAAATTAGGTAAGGTGTGAAGGTTTATAGAACATAACATACTGACAAGGCGGCAGTAGGTGGTAGCATAACTAGGTTTTGCAATGACATCGCCATATCTTGCATTAGGAACATTTTAAAACATAAAAACAGATAACAGTGGACAAATTTCTAATGGGCAAAGCCTCAGCGATTCCAAAAAGAAGCTAGCCATGTTAATAAATGAAGAAAATAAAAAAATAAAAAAATCGAGAAAGGTACCATCTACCCGGTATTTATATGGGACAGGAGTTCTCTTTAAAACAATAACATTTTGCACTTTTGGCGTTTTCACCATTTTCTACTTAAGCCGATAACTTTCCTTCATAGATATAAGATATAATTTAATTCAAGTTCTCCTATTTTTTATGTTTAGTATTGTGTTAAACTTTGTGTATACGTTAATATTGTGCATGTGTTAGATTTAATGAATTCCACTGGTGCAAGTGTTAGATTTAATGAGTTCCACTATAAAAACTTAAAAACTTATATACAAAGTGCTCTTTTCAAAGCTATCATTCGGAGTACAGGAACGGATTAATTTTACATTAATTTCTATGGAGAAAATTGTTTCGGTTCATGAGCCAATGTTTGACTGCACTTTTCTCAATTTTTTCGTGTTAACTTTGACATTCCTTTCCGACTAGATTTTTTTTGCATATAAAATAAAATATTTTTCTGGGCAAGCAGGTATGTATACTGATACACAGCGTGCCACGAAGCTTTATGAGATGTGTCGCGAATTTTCTAAATTTAAATTTTATAATAATAATTGTAATGATTACATGTTATTAAAATCGTCACTTAAATTTTGTAATAAAAGTTAAAACTATCGTATTTATTTATTACTAGCACTAGCCCACTTGAGCTGTTCTCAAACCAAGTTGCATACATGTAGGACTTGCAAACATATCTTGTTCATAAATCGATGATCTTCCGTCGACTGCTGCTCTGATCAGCGCAGTAGTTTACGATTCTTGCTGCTGTGTCTTCGGCCGGCTCGAAGCGTAGATAATGCACGGATGATTGTAAATTTACACTGTGGAAAACAAAATGTGAGGACAGTTCTACATCTCCCGTTCTACTGACCCGATTGACGAAATTCAAACTGCATTTTTCATGTCTCGAATATGCGACTTGGGATATGTATTAGATTGGACTTAAATAACATACCAATTGTTTCACATATTTCGATTCTATGACTCAAATTATACCAAACTGTCAAGTTTTGTAAAACTCCCAAGAGTAGGTTTTAAAAAATTAGCTCTCAAAGTTTTAGCTCCTCAATGTTAATTCAATTTGGTATGCATTTATTAATATCTCTTTTTTATTACACTTATTTGATTCCTTCTTTCACAGTTCGAAATTTAGGTTCATTCCAAATAAAATTCACATATTTTTATGATTTATTTTTAAATAAATTTTATAAACTTTTCGAAAAACATTTTGAATTATAACCTATAAAATTTTACCATTATCTTCAAGTAGATGTATTTCTAAGCACACCTACAAAAAATTACGAATTC